TCCTCCAGTAGCACTGCTTTCCTTGGTGCTGACTGGCCTTCCAACAATGCTTGCAGCTTGGTGGGTTCAGTGTAATGCAAGTGTTTCAGGCACACGGGTTGGGCACACATCTCCCACACACGGTAGGAAAACAGTTCTCATTGGGTTTTGTGCAAAAAGGCAGCTTTCACTATTCACAGCACAGGTTTTAAAAGCCAGAAGGGAACACAATTTAGCCAATATAGCTCAAAGCCTATCAAAGCCTTTTGCACTGCTCAGTGGCCTGAGCATAATTTCAGTCCAAAGTCATTCTGAAAAGAAATTCATTAATCACAAGCAGATGGGTTTCTTCCATCCACATGTGGATGGTGAGACAGGCATTGCTACACCTGGTTTCCACCAAGCTCCTCCATGACTCCCAGCAGCAGCTCGTAACACAGCAGGTGAGAACTGCTGCACTGAACACAGGGAATTTAGTGTGAACACCAGTCCCCAAAATGGGATCTTTCACTTGACGTCCTTTCAGCCCTCGCACAGCTCATCTCTGGGAACATGGGCCCCTGGTGCTTCAGGCACATCTCCATCTTGCCTTTCCAGCACAAGAGAAATTTCAACATTCTCATGTTTGTTTTCTCTGTCTCCTAGCTCTTGGAAACAGCTGGAACTTTTAAACTTTGCACAGAAGACACAAATCTGAAAGGATTGTTTGGTTGCTTCATTTTTGTTCCCGTAAGGCCATTTCCTTTGCAGACATTCAGGATGAAGCAAAAGCTGTCTTTCTATCACCAAGCAATGCCAACAGCCTTGGAGTCCCACCCACCTGAGCAGCACTGTGCATATGTCAGAGCATATCCCCTCCATATGGGGAACAAAAATAAGTGGCATTTATGTTTCATTATTATACCAGAGGAGGTCCCAATTAGATTTGCCATCTAACTGAAATAAAAATGCCATTTAAAATACTGAGTTAACAGCATCACCCAGTAGCCATGCTGCAGAACTATTTGCATGCTGTGGGATGCAGACAGCAAAGAGGAGTCTGGCTTTGGGAATACAGCTTAGCTGGGAGTGGTTGTGATGCCACTGGCTGGTCTCTACCAAAATCTGCTTTGGTGCTTCTGACTACTGCAGACAGTGCTCCTCTTCCGGCCCCACAGCCATTCTGTAAAATCAGTCTGCTGCATCTAGCTGCTGGCTGTGCAGGCTCAGCCTGGCTCCCAGCAAAATCAGAGTGTAATGGGCTCTTGCCCTTACAACCAGAATGCTCTGGAGTGTTGTATGAAGTATGAAGTCATGCTACATTGCTCAAAAGCACTTTGAGGAGAGAGAAAAAATGAGATAAATGTACAGAGGGCTGCAGACATAGTTCTAGTTTATAAAAAACTACAAACTACAAAATGCCGTTCTTTTCTGCTAGGTGCTGCTAACTATAAAAAAAGGAGATGCTACTTCTTCAGACATGAGTAAGAAAAGAGGATTATTCAAGCTTGCAGCTTTCTTCATGCACAGGTCCCAAATGCCCCCCAAGAGATAGCCCAACACTGTGCTTTTTTTCCCTCAGCATACTCCTGCAGAAGCTGGCAGGTTGTGGCTTGACAGATGTACTCTTCCATGGGTATAAAAGAGTCTGGATGCCTGGGCCTAGAGAGTGGTGGTGAGTTAAATCCAGCTGGTGACTGGTCACTAGTGCTTGTTCCTTGGGGTCAGTATTGGGGCCAGTTCTATTTAATATTTTTATTGATGAATGCCCTGAATTGAGTGCACCCTCAGTAAGTTTGCAAATGACACCAAGTTGGGGAAGAGTGCTGGTTTGACTGGGGGTAGAAAGGCCCTCCAGAAGGATCTGTCCAGGCTGGATCACTGGGCTGAGACCAATGGGATGAGGTTCAAAAAAACCAAGTGCTCAATCCTGCACTTTGGTCACAACATATGCATTGCTATAGGCAGAGTGCCAGAGAGCTGCACAGAGGAAAAGGATTTGGAGGTATTAGTCAACAGCTGTATGAACATGAGCCAGCAGTCCAGGTGGTCAAGAAGGCCAGTGGCATCCTGGCTTGTACCAGAAATAGCACAGCCAGTAGGAGCAGGGAGGTGTTTGTCTCTCTGTACTTAGCACTGGTGAGGCCGTACCTCGAGTGCTGTGATCTGTTTTGGGTCCCTCACTACAAGGAAGACATTGAGGCCCTGGTGCGTATCATTGAAGGACAATGAAGCTGTGAGGGCTCTGGAGCACAAATTTTATGGGGAGCAGCTGAGGGAACTGAGATTGTTCAGTCTGGGGAAGGGGAGGCTCAGGAAAGCCCTTATTGCTCTCTCTCTCCCTTATTACCTGAATAGAGGTTATAGCAAGGTGGGGGTTGACATCTCCTTTGTGACAGCTATAGAATGAGAGGTAACAGCCTTAAGTTGTGCCAGGGAGGGTTCACACTGGGTATTAGGAAATTTATTTTTGCAGAAGGAGTAGCAAGGCATTGGCACAGGCTGCTCAGGGAAGTGGTGGAATCACTGTCCCTGGAGGTGCTGGAGAAAAGTGGAGATGTGGAACTGAGGGACGTGGGTTAGTGGGCATGGTGAGGAGGGTTTGATGGCTAGACTAAATGGTCTTAGAGGTCTTTTCCAATCAGAATGATTCTATGATTCTGTGTTGCTACAATTCTATGGTTCTATGAAAGCACTGATATAAGGGCTTCTCTTCTCCCCGTCACAAACTGCCAGCAGCAGGTTTCCCCCTGCTCTGCATCTTCTCATTTACAGCATGGAGAAAAATACCTCTGTTGCTTATTGTGACAAGACAAATATGTCCTTCATGCAGTCACCTGCATTTCTTCCAACCAGCGGGCAAGCCTGGAGACGGGCAGGAGCTGGGGAATGCAGCCAGGTGAAGCATGGGACTGTGGGCATGGTGCTGAAATGCTGCCTTTTCCATAATGCCGCAGCTGTCATAACTGAGCTGGCAACGGCACAGACAGAGCCTGTATCCTCTTATTTTCCCTTTGCCCCCCTCTCTGCTTTGTCTGCTTTCATCCTGAGTTGTCGTCCTCTTCAGAAACAAGGTCAGAATCAGCAAAGCAATCTGAGAGCTACCAGCAGCACAGAGCACCCTTTCCTGCCCTCATTTCTTTGTTTGCCGCACATTCCCTCTCCAGCAACACTGGATGCTGGCTGTAATTATTGGGCTGTTTTCTTTACAAAAGCTTCTCTATAAATAAAACTTTGAGATAGGAAAAGAGGATTAGGTCTTTGTTGTGCTTAAAGCAAATTTTATGGTCTCAGCTCTAAATCTCCCAAGTTTCTCCTTCTCGACTTTGCTCAGTCAATAGGTACAAAGTAAGTTTCTGTTTGACGTGGGAACTCGGTTAGACTTGTGCAGCAGCACAGCCCCAGCGTGGTAATGGCATGGAGGCAAGGAGTACGTCTTGAGAAGAAAACAGTGACAAAAATTACAAATGCTTACAATCATGGCCTGTTTTCTATGGCATGTAGCAGCAGCTGTTTGAAGCCTGCCCAAATCGAGTGTTTGGGGCATTCCATTAATTTAGGGGAAATTAAGTTGTTATGGGAAAAAAAGGAGATTACAGGATTTTCTCAGTTCTCTGAACTCCCTAAACGAGCCTGATACCAAGCTGTGCTCTGAGTGCAGGAAGGGAAAGAGAATGTATTTCTGATATACACATCTCATGTACAGGCAGAGAAAACTTTGCCAAGGAGAACAAATTACGTTATTGTTTAGTTGCTATAAAAATAAAATAATAAATAGCAACAATTGTGTGCAACCACCCAGGAAGCACAGATATATAGTGCTAAGGAAAATAGTCTTAAAACACGCAGGAGCCGCTCAGCGTCCCGGTGCACACAATGCCATGGCACTCACTGCACTGCAGTCCGCAGCAACAATTACTGAGCTCTGATGGGAAAAGTCTCACAAGAATACAAATTGCATTTCTTTGCCTACCACAAGAAACAACCCTTATCAAAGATCATTCATCCCCTGTCACAGCCACAGTGACTGTGAGTGAAAAACAACTGAAATTGAACAATGAAAACCAAGAAAGAATAAATTAAGAGATGTCACAAGCCTTTCCAAAGCAGCCCTTAGCCAAGTCTGGGATTGCCCTATTATGTGTGCTAGGTCAAGAGCATCTGAGCCTGATGGTGCTTTGGCCAAGGCATGCAGGATCACCCAGCTTGGTGCGGAATGGGGTGTGCAGGGACACAATGCTGGTGCCGCAGGGAGGGGGAGGAGAGAAGCCTTCTCTGGGCACTGGAATGCTAAAACACTGCAGGCCATGCTGTGCTTTAATCACTGTTCTCCTTAAATGAAACTCAGCACAGCAATCTGCTGCATCATTAAAATTGGCGCTTTCCTCCAGTGTTCTGGAGATACACTATGGGTTATGAGCAGCATAAACTCCGACTTCTTCCATTTCAGCAGTAGACATTTAATCTCAAAAGAAAACAGCTCTGCAGCTCCACCGAATCCCTATTCAGAAGCTACTGTGAGACAGACTCCTGTATTGCATAGGAACAAGATGTTCTGTCAAAACTATTAATACCAAATCTTGCAGGAAAAGGTGGACTGTTTTGGCAGAGAGTCCTGATTTCCAGTGGAGAATAGTCCAAAAGGAAGTCAGAGATCCGGCCTCTGAACACAAAACAAGGAGCACTTGTAAACAGTCGAGGTGTGTTTCCATGCTATGGTGGGTGAACCTGGGGCATTTTTTAAGCTTTTTCTTCCTTCATTCATACATAATCATATAAACAGCAGTCAATTGAAAGCTTAAAACAAACTATGTAAGTCTTTTTGAAAAACGTTCCTTTGTTAATAATGGCTGAAGAACTGGATGGATGCCTTTCAGGTTGGGCAAGATGTGCTGCAATGATTGGCAGTCACTGGGGCTGCTCCTGGGGACCTACCTGCCACCCGCACTTCAGACCCACCGGAGAAGGCAGCAGGGATGGCTGCTGCCTCTGGACGCAACTGTTTGAGGCTTCTTTCCATTACCACCATGCTACCTGAAGGAGCCAGCGAGTCCATGTTGAAGGTAACTGCCACTCATGCAGACAGAAGCAGTGGCAGATGCTGGCTGCCGGCTTGGAGAAGTTCTTAAATACAAAATAAACACAAGGATTTGTGGGTTTGTGTATTGTCTCATCCCACTCCCATCCAAAAAAAACTACATTACTCAGTTCTGGAGACTTCAATAAACAGAGGTTTTTATGAGCTAAACTGAGCAGGATTCACATGAAGCAACCAAAGGCAATCAGCAGAGGGAAATATGGGTGATTTGCCCATATCCCACCATCAGATTTGCAAAACACAGCCCCAGTTTGAGTTCTTGTGAACACTACCAAAAAAATCCCAGGAAGCCATCACTAAGGCAACACAAACATCCTCACTAACCCTAAATCATCACTTACGCATCACAGCAGCCAGGCACCCTCACCCCCACAACATATTTCCCTTTGGTTCCACTGCACAGCCTCCCACCGTAAACACAGTTGATTCTTTTCAATAGCTTTAGAGATCATAAGGTCACAAAATGGCTCATTGAAGTCATTCTATAATTTACCTTGTTTTACTTCAAATTTGCATTACTGCCTTTAAAAACAGGAAATTTTCTGTATGTTAAAAATATCCCTCTGTGCTGAGATTTCAATGAGGCTTTACTTTTCTTGCAGAGAAATCAAAGGACATTTTTGCTTTTGCTTCAAATTTAGTGATAAACATTCAACTGGAATGAATGCTCTTTATTTTAACAAGTTGGGACACTGGGAATGAAGCATCACCTCACGTTGCCCCTGATACACATTTTACTCTCCTCATCACGTTTTTAATTTAATTTAATACAATTTTCTGGAGTCTCTGAACCATTGCAGACATGAATGTATGTGTGGGCTTGCAGTCCTTCACTGCAGCCGTGCCAGGCAAGATGGACATGCCCACTGGCATCCCATGGACTTGGGAACAATGTCAGCAACGTTAACATGTCATAAGCTGTGGTAATAGAAAAGGGGAAAGAAAGGATGCAAATGGCAGCTTACAAAACTTAAGGAAATTCACCCACAGCATCAAGAGGTAATACAGCATTCTCCCCTATGTCCTTGTGAATAGGAGGGAAGAGGACTTGGGACCACACTGTTATTTTCTACATGATGACATTCTGGAATTGCAAGTATAAATTGAATTCTGGTTTTATAAGCAATGCAGAGATCCAGCTTGGCAAATCTGGTCTGAGCACAACTCACTGTCAGTGCTCTGGTTTCCAGTCTGTTCCATGAACGGTGCTTTTCCACTGTGCTGCACCATACACCGCCAGGGCGCTGCAGAGAGATGGGATGCAAACACACCCATCTGTCAGCTGTACTTCTCAGCATCCTTCTGCCAGCAGGAGATTGGACCTGGAAACTGTTAATTCCAGTGCATGAATACCACAGGCTTTGAAAAATGAATCTTCTTAAGTAACCATTTAGCCAGTGCTTCTCACTTGTTAGCTATCTCTTCCTCAAACAAAAACTCCCTTTGTGCTGTTGACAATCATAATACTTAGAGAAGGAGAAGAAAGAGAGTTGCCATCTCTGTCTGCTCTTTTTCCTAGTGGTGGCCAAGGTGGGACATCTCCTGGTTCAGGGCACGCCCACTGGATATCATCTGGGACTTAAGAAATCTTCCATTTCCATCCCCAAAGCATTAAGGTGCCCATCCCTTCCCTCATCCTTACCTCACCAGCAAAGCCCACATGAGCTCTCCTTCCCTCCCTTGCTGGCTCTTAGACTGCAACTCTCCATTGCTCCACCAGCCTGTTCCCTCACCTTCCTCCTCCACTTCTGCTTCCTTACCTTCACAAATTCCTCCCAGCTCCTCATCAACTTTGCCAATTTCCTTTACTCAGACCCTCTCTGCAGCCCCCCGAGCCTCATTGAAATCCATCTGTCTTCTCAACATGTTTGTGGCCTGGTCTTTCCAAACTATGGATCCAGGAGAGACATGGACGCACCAAAGCTGACAGTCACAGGCTGGGGATGGGTTCAGCAACTGGGAGCAGGAGAATGAGAAAGGAGAGGGCAGGGTTGAGAGCTGGAAATGACTCCTGCACTCACCAATAGAATCACACTGCAAGGTGGACATGCAACCAGTTACACCAACCTGCAGAATGCATATAGTGACACACATTCTGAACAAGGAAATGTCATCTCTTGCTTTGCATATTGTACATCTGTCTTTTAACAACAGCAGTCAAAAGCTGAATCCTCCTCTCAGCAGTGAGATGAGTCCTGGCACTTCACACCCCTGCTGCAGAGATAGTATTTGCACATGGCCGCAGACTTCCATTCATTGCAATGACAAGGAAAGCTAGAGATGGATTTCACACTGGAGAGGGGGAAGAAAAAGAGAGGCAGAAAACAAGGGCGCAAAGCATGAGCTGGCACATCAAGTCACAAGCCCTGTACCAGCTGTCTGGAGAGAATGCAGGAACTGAAATCACTCGCTAATGTGCCCAGAGGACAGGCTTCTACCCACTTCCAGCAGCAAGTGCTGAGAATGAGCTTTGGATTTCTGCCATTTTTACCCTTTACTTTCTACTCAAATTCTGACTTTTTGCGAGTCATTCTTCAGATGCATTCACTCCAAGTTGCAAATGGGATGTTGTGGTTTCCCTGTGGCCACATGCTCTGGATGGCCATAAAACACAGCCAGTCCCACTGGCAGTCTATTTCTGCTGCAGCCCTCATTGCTTAGTATGCTGCTTGTCTTCTTCTGCTCCAGGCTGTGTTCTCGTCAGCTGGGGAAAGCTATTCAGCCAAAAGACTGTGCTTCCTGTCCATGAGCATGCAGCTAAAATTGATGGTCAAAGAGAAGCTTTTAGTCTTCCTGCAGAAGTCAGCTCTTTTGCTGCCTCTGCTGACTCCCAGAATCACTACTGCTGGCAGGCACATCCAGGCAGCCGTGTTCTAACTCCATCCTCCCTGGAGCAGGCTCAGCCAGAGCCGTGTCCAGATAGGTGTCCCCATGGATGGACACCCCGCAGCCTGTCTGCGAGGCTGTGCCAGCACCTGACCACCCTCACAGCAAAAATTCCCTTCTGGCTTGCCAGCACCTCCCACATGACGAGTCCAAAGCCAAATGGGAGCTCTTCTGGGAGTTCATATATGTGATATCTTTGCCAGTTCATAAAAGGTCAATATTTATTAATTAGGGCTAAAAATTTCTACATTTCCTTCAAATAAGGAATTCTGAAAAGCCCTCACAAACTCTTAGGGAGGCAGCCAGGACAGAAAGCAGCTGCCCATGGTCCAGCAGTGTTGCAACAGCCTAAGCAGAGGAGCTGCACCAGACGTTGGAATTACATCCTACTATGTTCAGCCTCAAAGCCTAACCCTATGCTTTGGAAGCCCTGTGAGATCCTCAGCAGCTCTCAGGGCTCAGGAAGAGCCCTATCCTAAAGAGCAGAAGATGTACCCAGCTGGAAGCAGAGTTCCAGGCCTGGGAGGATCTCTCTCGTAGAGCTGTAGACCATGGGAACAGAGAGCTCTCCTGCTTCAGGGTAGGCTACATGCCCCACTACCTCAGGAACCCATCTGAGGACCTGACTGCAGGCAGCATGGGAACCCTGGCAGGAGCATCTCAGAACGAGTGCATGCAGATGGTTCTGGTTTCTTGGCTTGGAGCCTGGAAACACAGTTAGCTACCAGGAGTGGTGGACAAGATGTGATGCACTGGCTTTCCATGAAACTCATCCTGATTTTAATGAAGCAGTTCCCTGTATTAATTTTATCAGAGTTTTATCAAATCAAAGGTGCTGTAAATGAAATAATTCAGCTAACCAGCACCTTTCAAGGAAGGTTCCCTTTGTACTTAGCACTGATGAGGCCACATCTGGAGTGCTATGTTCAGTTTTGGGCCCCTCACTACAAAAAAGGCATCAAGGCTTCTCTGGAACCCATCCAGAGAAGAGCAACAAAACTGGTGAAGGGTCTGGAGCACAGGTCTTATGGGGAGCAGCTGAGGGAACAGATTTTTCAGTCTGGACAAGAGGAGGCTCAGGGGATCTCCTATTGCTCTCTACAGCTGCCTGAAAGGAGGTTGTGGTGAAGTGGGGGTTGACCTCTTTTCCCTTGTAACCAGCAATAGGACGAGAGGTGATGGCTTCAAGTTGCGCCAGAGATATTCAGGTTGGATATTAGGAAATATTTCTTCTCAGAAAGAGTGGTAAGGCTTGGCACAGGCTGCCCAGGGAGGTGGTGAAGACACCATCCCTGGAGGTGTTCAAGAGAAATGTAGATATAGCACTGAGGGATGTGGGTTAGTGAGCACGGTGGGGATGGGTTGATGGCTGGACCACATGACCTTAGAGGTCTTCTCCAATCTTCCTGATTCTATGAAGATCTGATAGCTGAGATAGAGTCCATTCACCTGCATCTGCATACCAAAAGCTGTCACAGACCTGCAGAGAAAATGTAGTTGTTTCCACACAAGAAATATATATATGCACAGTGATATATATATATGCACATATGTGTGTGTAGTAGTCCAAAACCCTGTTGGATTGTTATCAGCATTAGTTTGCAGACTCCTGTTGTCCCTGTAAGGAGGTGTTTGGTGAATGACTCATTTCTAGATTTCCTTTTCCAGAATAATCATTTGAAACTGTTTTTCCCAGATGCCAGTTTAGTTTTCAGACATGAGCCCTATTTAATTTTTGGCCTACCTTTTAGTCTTCGTACTATTCCGTGAGTAGGGAAATGCAATGCCTACTGGATATCATGTGACTGTATAAGCCTTCAAATATTTGTTTTCAGTTATGATGGAAGATGTCGAGGAAGATGCAACTTCAGTCCCTTTGGCCATTCCTTGCGTCTCGATTCCCTGTTGTTAATCACTACACATTGTTTACAGTTTCTCAGCCAATTTTCAATCAACACGAATCTGCAAACTGCTCATATGAAAGCCAGCCTGAATTACTTCTTCAAACGAGCTTTCCTCAGATGCCCAGCCAAGCTCAGTGCTTGCAGAACTCCACTGAGGATAGGCCATTTATCCTGGGGATGCATTTGGAGAAGTGAGCCCGGTCCCAGAGGCTGTGACAAAAACCCCACAACGCGGCAGTGCTGTGCACGAGTTGGTGGCTCCCTGCAATACCCAGCAGCTGGCACTGCTGCCCATGCCCCCACAGCAGTCAAAGGCAGCAGGAAGGAGGGCACCACGTGCTTCCCTGTGTGCTCAGAATTCTGGACTGCACAGTGGCAACCTCAGCTGTTTTCGACATTCTGCCACAAAATCCCAAACCCCAAACCAAATGCTTTTGCCCAGTAGAGTCTGCTCTGATAAAACTTGTCTGGGCTCCATTGTTGCTCACAAAGCTTCTTCCCAGCATAGTCCCTCAGCAGCTCTGTAGTCTGGAGGCTTCATCCTAAATTCTTGCACTAGTCAAGTCAAATTAAGACTTACAGACAGGTTTCCATGGCAATAGTATATAAAACAATTATTAGAGATACCTCTAGCCATGCTCCTCTATCCAGTAGCAGCAGCTTGCTTCACTCAGATTTGTTTAATCCAGTCACTAGCACTTTAATAACAATCAAAAGAAAGGAAAGAAATCACTAGAAAGGTGGTAGATACAAACATCCTTTAGGAGAAAAATAGCATGGAAGGAAAGAATCTCATCCCTAGAGGGTGTTCTTTCATAAAAACATACAAACCTGGAGCAAGTTATAGTCCCATGTGTCTTCTGAAAAGATGCGCTCATTACATATCATTACATAACTCACAATTAGAAGAAATGTGCTTCCAGAGGCTAATTCCTTCCTTGCATAACTGACCCATTTCTATCAGTTTATTTACTTGTTGAAAATGTACCTGTCATCTTAGCATATTTCCTATTGCCCTTTTCTTACAGGAAGCTAAGGATCATGCGTGATTTTTTTTTTAAATTAGCACACAGTAATCTGCTAAGTTCTTATAAATTTGTATACAACATTCTCCTTATTAGATAAGAAACCTGTCTTCCTCCCACCACGCTCATGCTGCCAGTGAACATCAAGAAACTGCCTCATCTCCCTCGCTCAATGACAGATCCTGGTCAGAGAGAAGGGATGTGGCAATCCATGGAAACTGCATGGGGACCTTCTGCCCAGGAGCATCACATTGCTTGGATCAAACACAGCCCAGGACACCAAGATGTGAGCTTAAGACCATTTGAAACCTCAGCACCAATTTCTGTTTAATGGCTTCCGTTAATAAGGTCCGTGAGAAAGGAAAGTGAAATGATCTTCCAGCACACTACAGCAGTTGGGGTGAGTAGGTAATTAAAATATTTCCTGTGTGTGCTTTGATGAAGTGTTTGAGGATCCCTCAAGGTGAACAGGTTCAACAAAGCCAAGTGCAAGGTGCTGCACTTGGGTTGAGGCAATCCCAGGTATTTGTAAAGACTATGGAAAGATCTCCTTGAGCAACCCTGCAGAGAAGGACCTGGGGGTCCTGGTGGACAAGAAGCTGGACATGAGCCAGCAGTGTATGCTTGCAGCCTGGAAGGCCAACTGTGTTCTGGGCTGCATTAAAAGAGGGGTGGCCAGCAAGGACAGGGAAGTGATTGTCCCCCTCTACTCGTCTCTTGTAAGGCACCAGGCACCATCTGCAGTACTGCATCCAGGCCTGGGCCCTCGCTACAGAAAGGACGTGGAGCTGTTGGAGCGGGTCCAAAGGAGGGCCACTAAGATGATCAGAGGGCTGGAGCACCTCTGCTATGAAGAAAGGTTGAGGGATCTGTGCTTCTTTAGCTTAGAGAATTGAAGGCTCCAGAGAGACCTCATTGTGGTGACACACACAACAGGTTGCCCAAGGAGGTTGTGGATGCCCCATCCCTGGAGGCATTCAAGGTCAGGCTGGATGTGGCTCTGGGCAGCCTGGTCTGGTGGTTGGTGATCCTGCACACAGCAGGGGGGTTTGAAACTTGATGATCATTATGGATCTTTTCAATCCAGGCCATTCTGATTCTATCATT